TAGAGCAACAACTGTCTGAGAGAGAATTTTCCTCAGTTAGGAGAGATTTCTCCTCACTTCCTATTGTGTCTCCGGGACAGGAAGAGATGGGGAAATTTTCCCAAAAGGACACTGGTGGGAAAAAAGATGATGAGGGCTTTTAAAAGTTAACACCACCTTGAAGTTTTCCGTGGAGCACAGGTGCATTGACATCACCACACTTGTGTCAATTGACTACTGGGCTAAAGAAATAGTCTGCATTAGCCTGTGCTTTGCAGATGTAGTATTAGTAGTAGCATTACTGCATGTTTCAATGGATACTTTATAATTAAGTGCTTTTTTACCTTGAAACACATCAAAAGTCTCATTCCGCTGTATCAAGAATTTTAGATTTGTATTAGTAAATTAGTCTATTTTATTGGAATGTGGTCAACCACTATTCTGATTCCTGGATTTTCGATAATGAGCTTGATGTGAGCCTAGTACTTTGTGGGCAGGAGTGGAGCAACCTGGAGCAATGCTCCTTCTGCCTTATTAGCTAGAGCAGGGGTCTCCAAACTTCTCAATCATAGGGTCAGTTTACTGTACTTCAGATTTTAGGGGGGCCGTATTGTGGCCAGTGAGGGTAGAAAATGTTCCAGGCCCAGCATCAGTGACAATAAACATCAACTCAGGCTTGGTGGTCAGTAGGAGGATGAGTAGTGCCCCATCATTGGTATTAGTGGAAGGTATAGTGACCCATCATTGGTGGCAGTGGCAGGACTAGTGCCCCAGCATTGGTATTAGTGGAAGGGATAGAGCCCATCATTGGTATTAGTGGAAGGGATAGAGCCCATCATTGGTATCAGTGGGAGGATAGTGCCCCATCTTTGATATTATTGGGATGAATAGTGACCCATCATTGGTATTAGTGGAAGGAATAGAGCCCATCATTGGTATTAGTGGAAGGGATAGAGCCCATCATTGGTATCAGTGGGAGGAATAGTGCCCCATCTTTGATATTAGTGGGATGAATAGTGACCCATCATTGGTATTAGTGGAAGGAATAGAGCCCACCATTGGTATTAGTGGAAGGGATAGAGCCCATCATTGGTATCAGTGGGAGGAATAGTGCCCCATCTTTGATATTAGTGGGATGAATAGTGACCCATCATTGATATTAATGGAAGGAATAGAGCCCATCATTGGTATCAGTCAGAGGATTAGTGCCCCATCATTGGTATTAGTGGAAGGAATAAAGACCATCATTCGTATTATTGGCAGGAATAAAGCCCATCATTGGTATTAGTAGAAGAAATAGTGCCCATCATTAGCATTAGTGGAAGGAATAGTGCCCATCATTGGTATCAGTGGGAGGAATAATGCCCCGTTATTGGTGTCAGTGGGAGGAATCATGTCTTGTATCATTCAGAGGTATAGTGCCCCAAGGGCCAGATAAAGGCTAGCAAATGCTGCATCATGTCCTTGGACCACAGTTTGGAGACCTCTGACCTAGAGTATTGCATCCATGAGCCACTAATCGTGGTAGCAGTGCTTTACAGGTTCAAACGCAAAATATAATTTTCAAACTATGGGTGCATTTATAATTTTTTTTGCAAAAAGAAGAATTCTCCTTTAACACTTGGAAAAAAAAAGTTTTGGACATGTATATATTTTAATGAGGTACTAAAACCCACTAGCAAAACTTACCAAACCTTAAATGTGTGGGTTGCCTTAGTTCCCTTTTTTAGACTTTTTTCATTTGTTTTCTGCTAAAAAGTGTTATTTCTAACTCTAGTGGTCTAGAGTTGGGCTTTAATTTGTTATTCAAGTTCATCTAAATCAACTAGTGCATCTAACATTACCCGCTCTTCAGAATGACAATGCTGCTGTCCAAAGGTGTCTCCATTGGTCCTCCATCCAGAATGGAGCCACCCTAAGATAGAAAGTGTGTTATTGGCCAGATTACCAGGTGAAAATAAAGAAAGAGAAAACTAATGCAGCCACCACATTTAGGCCTCATTTACATTTGAGTAAATGGTTGAGCTGTGTTTTTACCACCCTCTAACCACTCCCCCTGAACTGCAGAGGCAGCGGATGAGAGTATACACGTACTGAAAAGCATTACAGCATGGCAAAAATGATTCAACTGAAAAAGGCTGCAACCTGCCTGCAACCAACAATGCATGCAGTTGTAGCATGGTGATGCAGGTTTTTATGGGGTTAAAGCAGGCAGTCCGCACACAACATATCTCATCCTCACCGCCTGTCAAATGCCCTCTGAAAATCAATCCATCATAGATCGCTCTCCAGAAGTTAAACAAGCCCCAAAAGTGACATTATACTTTTTACTATTTAAATTCTATTCAAACATGTATTCTTTAGACGAGGTTCACACTGCTGCAGTCCCATTTTGATCCATGTTTATGGGTATGCAGTGCAACTTTAATGCAACTTGGATGTGGTTTGCATATTGTATGGAGCCAAAATTATGCTGAAATCACAGAAAAGTAGTGCAGGGCCCTTTGCCAAAATCGTGCCATGCTGAGTTTGCATTGATATAAGCAGCCACCATTGAAAACAATATAATTTCCTTTGCCATGTGATTCTGTGTGATTGAAGTCGCATCTGACATTGTACTAGTGTAAATGCAGCCTAACTCAAAAAGTCCCTTCTATTACCTTCAGAGTTCTCCAAATCTTCAAATTCTGTGAGCTGTCTCCCTCTTCTCTTCATGGTCCACTATATGCAGGAACATAGCCACTCTCTCCTGCTTGCTCCTACAATGGATTGGACACTATGGACTATGTGACTTAAAGTGTGCACAGAGCAGTGCATATGACCGCAACTAACACGCACTGCACCTTCGAAAACAAATGGAATTGAGGGGGGGGGGGGGAGAAAAGGTCCAGGAGCTCACAGATGACATTACAAGGAGGGAGAAAAAGACAAGAAACAAGTTTGTGAAAAAAGACGACAGTAAGAAACAAGTTCAGGATAAATAAATTAAAGGGTTGGATTTTCACCCAAAAGGGAAAGTTCCACTTTTCCGCCTCCTCCCCCCTCCTCTCCCACTTTTGGCATGTGATATATATTTTTGGGAGGAAGCGGGTACCTGGTTTTGACCCTCCATGCCTTCCTGCTGCCTTTTGGGATGTGCCAGGACCATTCACAAAGTACAGCACGGCTTGTGCATGGGCAGTGGGAAGCTGGCTGTGAATCAGACAGGAGTCACAGCCAGATTCCCACACTAAAGTTGCCGGAGTCACAGACCCAAAAACTGGCGAAGAACCAGCCCAAGTGAGGACAGTGCCAGGTCCATGGACAGGTAAGTGTCCTTTTATTAAAAGTCAGCAGCTACAGTATTTTTTTCAGGCTGAAAAACGCTTTAACCACTTCTTGACCGCGCTATAGCCAAATGACGGCTACTACGTGGTCATCCAGTTCTGAGAAGTCCCCAGTGGCGCTCACCTGGCACTGTCTCTGATCGCTGTGTCCTTTAGATACAGCTGGTCACATGACATGGAAAAGGGCCAATCACAACGGCCTTTTACCACGTGATCAGCTGTGTTCAATTACAGCTGATCACCATGTAAATACACTTGCCATTTATCAACAGTACTTTACTCCCGCTGTGACAGCATTAGGAAAGTGCTGCCGGTGACCAGCAACTGTGAAAGGAGAGATCTACACTGATAATCAGAGCATTGTTTATCAGTGCCCTGATTATCAGTGCAGCAACAAAAGTACCCAACAGTGTTGCCCATCAGTGCCTAACAGTGCTGCCAATCACTGCCCAGAAGTGCTGAACATCAATGCCCAGCAATGCTACCAATCTGTGCCCAGCAGTGCTGCTAATTTCTGCCCGTCACTGTCTCCAGTCAGTGCCATCTATCAGTGCTGCCAGTCAGTGCCCTTCAGTGCTGCCTACCAGTGCCCATTATTGCCTTCTATCAGTGCTGTCTATCAGTGCAGCCTCATCAGTGCTTCTTCATCAATGCCCGCCAGTGCTGCCTCATCAGTGCTGCCTCATCAGTGCTGCCTATCAGTGCCTATCAATGCAGCCTCATCAATGCACATCAGTGCAGGAGAAAAATTACCTGTTTGCAAAATTTTATAATAGAAACAAAGAAAAACTTTTCTTTTTTTAATTTTCGGTCTTTTTTCGTTTATAGTGCAAAAAAAAAAAACCACAGTGGTAATTAAATACCACCAAAAGAATGCTTTATTTGTGGGAAACAATTATAAAAATGTCATATGAGTACAGTGTTGCATGACTGCGCAATTGTCATTCAAAGTGAGACAGCGCTGAAAGGTGAAAATTGGCCTGGGCAGGAAGGGGGTATAAGTGCCCGGTATTGAAGTGGTTAAGTAGTGGGTGTGTATCTGGATTATTTTAGTATATATATGTCAATTAGAGTCACTTTAAGGATTAATAAACTGAAATATAATACATTTTTTGTTTTGGATTTAATACAGTTTTTAACCTTTATCACTTTTTTTTCTGCTCCGGCACAACAAGCATGCAGCCAGTGAAGTGTCAGGATTCCTGCTAGGCACACACTTCTTGTTTCAGCTTAGTGCCTCTCTAAGTGGTAAAGGAAAGACAATATAACAGAAAAAAATCACTTTCATAAATCAGTGTCATCTCCCATATTTTCTGCTCACAGGTTTCCTTTTAAACAGTTGCTGAGCCAGGATGACACCAGCCTCCTGTGGCCCATCTGCCTGCTTGTGGCCCCCACCCTGCACCCATTGACTCCTCCACAACCCTCCTCTCTGCCCACCATCCTAGAGGCCGGGGGGTGTGCCATGGCAGAGGGATTCTCAGAGCTCAGAGGAAGAACCCTCCCTCCCCTCCCCGTTTTTTGTGTGCACACAATAGGCTCCATGTCTACTTCTTGGTGGGGATGCCATAGAGCGGCTCACCTGTCTTCTGCGGTCAGTGGACAAATCGCTGCGACTTGGGATCGCTGCTGCCCCAGAGAAGGCTAGCCATGGGCTGCGGGGCTCAGCATGCCTAGCCGGGGAGGGCTCCGGCAATGGAGCTCTGGGGGATCGCCGGCTGCTCCCTGGTGGTGCTGATGATAGTCGCTGCGCTGCTGTCCAACGGCGTGGTGCTGATCTGCTTCCTGAGCTCCTCCGACATCCGCGGCCAGGTCCCGGGACTCTTCACCCTCAACCTGACCCTCTGCAACCTGCTGCTGACCGTCATCAACATGCCCCTGAGCCTGGTCGGAGGGATCCGGGGCCACCAACCTGGAGGGGAAGGTCTATGCCGGGCTGTGGGCTTCTTGGAAACTTTCCTGACCACCAACTCTATGCTGAGTATGGCTGCCCTGAGCATTGACCGTTGGGTGGCCGTGGTCTTCCCTTTGAGCTATCACTCCAAGATGAGGTACCAGGATGCTGCTCTTATCCTCCTCTACTGCTGGATCCACTCCCTGTCCTTCCCTACTGTGGCCCTGTGCCTGTCCTGGGTGGGCTTCCACCAGGTGTATGGTTCCTGCACCCTCTATGACAAGGAACCTGAGGAGCAGGACTCCTTTGTGGCTTTCATTGTGTCCTTCCACCTGCTCAGCTATCTGCTGTCCTTCCTGGTCCTCTGTGTCACTTACCTGCAGGTGCTGAAGGTAGCTCGCTCCCATTGCAGGAGGATTGATGTCATCACAATGCAGACTCTGGTGCTCTTGGTGGACCTGCACCCCAGGTATTATCTGTTGGAGATATCTTCCATCCACGTTATACAGAAGTCCTGGGGGGTCAATTGATGCTATGGAAGAGACAATCCAATGTTTACTTGATAACCATTTTCAAATCCATCCAGTTGTTCCATAACAGGTTATTTGGGGTAGAAATGGTACTGGAATATAGTGTCAACGTACACGGGTGTAGGTCGTGTAATGTGTAGATGTGGATGACCAGTTGAGGCACTCATGGGACTTTACAGAAGTAGCATTCAATTAGACTTAGCTTTAATGTTCACCTACCTTTCCTATCCAAATTGCAGTGAGTAATTGTAAAGTACATGTCCTGGGTGGGCTTTCACCAGGTGTATGTATGGTTACACCTTCTAAACCAAGGAACCTGAGGAGAAGGACTCTATTGTGGCTTTCATTATGTCCTTCTCAGTTGTCTCCTGTCCTTCCTAGTCCTATGTGTCACTTACCTGCAGGTGCTGAAGGTAGTTTGCTCCCACTGCAGGTGGATTGATGTAATCACAATGTAGACTTTTGGTGAACCCACACCCCAGGTATTATCTGCTGGAGATCTCTTCCATCCTGGGTGCATAGAAGCCCTAGGGGGTCACTTGATGTTATGGGAGGGACAATCCAACATTGTATGTTAGCCATTCATCATATCCATCTGATAGGTTATTTGGGGTAGAGAGGGTACTGGTATACAGTGTCAGCTAACTTGAATGTATCTCATTTAGTGTGTACATGTGGAAGAAGAGATTAGGCACTTATGGGAATTTCTAAAAGTAGCATTCGTTTAGTCTTAGCTTTAATGTTCACCTAACTTCCCCATCAAGATGAGGAATTCTCAAGTGCCTTTTCCTAGTATATGGTACCTGCACCCTCTAAATCAAGGAACCTGAGGACAGTATCAACTAACCTGAGAGCATCTCATGTGGTATGTAGTGCATAGCTAGGGAGGAAGAGATGGGGCACTCATGGGAATTTGCAAGAGTAGAATTCAATTAGTCTTAGCCTCAGAGTATAGCTAAACCCAAAACCAAAATGTAATATATTTTCAGCTTACTATTCATCAAGCTTCATTTGCTTTATTTTCTCCTGGTCATCCTCCATATAACACACTTCTTGTCCCTAAGTGGCTGCATCACTGCTCCGCTGTATTTATGGAGGGAGCCATAGTTGTCACCGTGGTCTGCTCTCCTGATATGGACTACAAAGATGTCCATATCTCTTCATCTGCGTTATATGAGGGGGCAGTGCAATTGGTAGTTTACAGAAGAGAGCTAAGAAGGAAGATATTTTTCTTTGCAGCTTACAAGAAGTGACAAGGACACTCTGTTTCTGCTAGGATCAAAAGGTATTTGCTGTATTTGCTGAAAATTATCTTAGCTTAAAAAAAAAAGAAAACTAAGCCAGTCACCACATCTAAGAACTGTAAGCTGCAATATATTTCATTTTTGCTCCTGGGTTTAGTTATCCTTTTTATTTTCACCTACTGTTCCCATCAAAATGCAAGTGAGCATTAAAGAGATAATAAACACAAAAACAAATATGTAAGATATTACAGCTTACAAGTCCTTAATGTTCAGCAACCTATCCTACCAAAATGGCAGTGAGCATTAAAGAGATAATAAACACAAAAACAAATATGTAAGATATTACAGCTTACAAGTCCTTAATGTACTTTCAGGAGCTGATTTGATTGCTTACTGAGAATACAACTTCTTTATCTTTTAATCTTAGCCTATGTTCTTATTTAAGCTGGCACATTTTTCCTGTTTCAGGGTGGCTCCTTTCTCTTGCAAGATCCTATGGATCCACCCTTGCATGCGTGCACAAGAGCTGTGTTTCCCTACACTGTGTACACCAATAGAAACACACAGCTCCATAGTGTAGGATAGGAATCACTCTCCTCCTCATGCCCCCTCCCTGCTCCAAACTAACAGATAAAATTGAGTCTGCTCTGTCCACTTTAAACTCTTTCCTGTGAGAACCAAAAGTTCAGGGAAGCAGCATTGAAAGTGCAGGAGCCATCAGCATTGAAAGTTATAAACTTCAAGTGCTGGAGTAAACATTTTATCAAATAGTGTACTGGCTTATGTTGAATTTAATGTGCTCAATGTGTTAAACGAAAAATAGTTGAGGGCTTAATATGTGTCTAAACCCAAAACCATAAATGTAATATAAAGAGGATAGGATCGCCACTACTCCTGACCTGCCCAGGTGAGGATAAAGCTTTTCTAAATGCAGGTCCATTGCTTCCACTAGGCAAACTAGGAGACCGCTTAGGGCACATGGCCACCTAGGAGTGCCTGGGCACAGCAGAGGCCGGAACTCTCTCTGTGTGGGATGCCACCACACCATGTATGATTCTCCAGCTGAGGGGAGGGGTGACAGAGAGGAGGAGAGTACAGAGAAGGACAGGGAAAGATGCCCGGTGTCTGAGGCCAGTGTAGCAGCTGAGCTGCCATGCCTTCCAGTGTTCCTCTCAGACTCAGTCCCTTACTGCAAGCCAGCTGGTGGCTGCGGATCACTGTGGAGTGCCAGCCCTTCTCTTCCCATTAATCAGAGAAGGCAGAGCTGCACCTGCGGACGAAGGTAATGTCTGACTCTGATGTCCCATATCTGTGTGATTGTGATCCGCCAGACATCCATTACATGTGCAATATGTCAGTGAGTGATGACATCATCACGATCCCACAGCCTGCTCTTCTAGTGCCTGCTGATCTGTGTCAGTGTTGGTGGTGGTGTGTTGTGTCGGATCTGTCACTGCGTGGAGTCGCGCTCAGTTCAGGTGTTCTCTTTTTGTGTGGGCTGGGCTGCCTGCTGTCACAGTGTTTTATATCCCCCCCATTGCCTGGGGAATTCCAGCCTGGGATCTGTCAGAGTGTGGATCCATCATCCACCACTCACTGCAACTGTCACCCTGCCACTGCCAGCCACAGATACAGTCCATCGGTGACACTGGTTTTGTCTTTAATATTGGTGCTGGTGGCATCTTATGACACTTATTTTTGCAAATTAAAAGAAATTTAGCAGTTTCATGTTTTGTTGATTTAATATTTTCTATTTTGGGGGGGGACCACTAGTAGCTTGTCTTGCCTAGGACGCAAAATAGTCTAGCATCGGCCCTGCCTGGTTTTACCTTACTATTTGTTATGATAGCTCTGTGCTGTGGTCTGTGTACAGATGGAAGCGGAACCAAATTCTGACACCACTGCCACTCCCAGCTAATCAACAGACCGGACATGTGTGAGAAGCACAGGAACAGCGCTGCTGTGGGAATGCCTGTGTTGTTCAATGGTAAACTGACAGGCCTCTTCCCCTGCATTCAGAGTGACAACACAGGAGCTTTCAATTATACATCTGTCTCCTTAAAACGTTGTGGTCAGAAATCAGTGGGTGGAGCCTGGGATGTGCTGTCACATACTGGATCTCAATGTCTACAGCTTCTAGAGAGATGAAACAAAGTGCAATACATATACATTGTGCACCCCAGGGGATTGGAGCACCAAAGTGTTCGTTCTTTTTTAAGGTCCCCATAGATGGCTCAGATTTTAAATTGATTCTGCAGTAATCGGCCAAAACTTGAGCAGTGTGTGGTCTGGCAAGCACAAATGTCAATTTAAATATTAACTGGGAAGTTATCCTAATATATGCAGTCATAGTTCAGGTATTCAGGCAGCCACTGCTGCTGCTGCTTCCAGAATACATAGCCATGGATTTAGATTCTTCCATCTACATTTTTAGTGTATGGATTAAACACATTTTCTGGGCAGATCCAGTTTGACCACCCATTATTCTCTATGGGGAGGCGGATGTAAACGGACATGTGTCCATTTACACCTGCCTGGATCTGATGTGCTAAAAACAGACGGATGGGGATCTGTTCCCCATCCATCTAGTGGATCGGATGAGAGTTGGATGTAAACGTACAGGCCGGTCCATTTATATATGACCGCCCCATAGAGAACAGTGGGCACAAGTGGAGCAGACACGAACCTGTCATCAACTTGATGGAGTCCACCAGTTTGAAAGGGCCCTTAGATGTAGTGACTGCATAGCATGTAGCAAGAACAGAAAATACCTGCTGCTCCTTGTCACTTCTAAAAATACAGAATAAACAATGATATCTCTCTTTTGTAAACTACTAGTCACATTAATTCACCATATGATTGAGATAGACAGATGGACCTGTTTGAAGTCTATCCCATGTGACAACCATGGCTCCCTTCATAGATATTGGAGAAGCAAGTGTGGGCTCAAAAGGCACAGGAAGCATGTTATTCCTACCCTTGTTTGGTGAAAACAAGTGAAAAGAAAACAAATGCAGTCACCACATCTAATAAATGGTGAATTGCAATATATAACTTTTTTTTTTGCTTTGGCTTTAGATACAGTTGAAAGAAATATGAATACGTCTGAAAATTCCTCATCTCTGCATTTATAAACCTAGCATTTTTTATTGGAAGGGTTGGAAATTTCTCATTGTTACATAGACATTATCACTTTTGATTTTTGTTCACTTTTTCCAATAAAACATTTATATTGATAGTGAGCAGATTCAGGAAAATGTACTGCTTGTTTTACATAGAACAATCTTGTTTGACACCCAGTTGATTAAAGCTATTGGGTTGAGCATGAAAAATTAGTACAAGTATGATCTGCATAATGGTGAGGCAGAGTAGGCTTCTGCCTAGGGAGGCAGGCTTTGCGGTAGGCATAGATTGTTCAATAATAATTCTTGCTTGCATTGTGCTGCCCACACACAGATTTAAAACGAACAATATATCATAAGTTCGATGTTTAAAACATCCTTTCAGTGAAATCCAGTTGTTTGAAACAGCAAGGAAAATTAATTGGTCGAGTTTGTCCACAAATCAATTGTTAATCTGTAAAATGTGATGAGCTCACCAAAGCGCTCACTATATTGATTGAGCATTTTGTAATGCTGTGATGAGTATCTGTTATCATATGTGTACACAGTACAAAGTGTAGTAAGCCATGACAG